TTACTGAGGAGTGATGACAGGAAAGGCCGAATCGCAGTGCTCGCCGGCAGTTTGCTCTCTGCGGCTGCACGATGACAAAGCCTCCTGAAGCGAACATGGTCTGACCTCAGTCACGGCACGCAAGCCTCGGGCCGGGGCGCACTTTCCGAGAAGGGCTGCCGGGGCGCAGATGGTTTTAAGATAAAAGAATGGCTCTTGGACAGCACTAGCCCTCAGTGAGGACTAGGTGGGTCTCTGTGTGCTTTCCCTATACTTGAAACGTGACCGTAACAGACGTTCGAGAACAGGTGTGTCCCCATCTGGAGGAAGGACCCGGGGTGACTGGTCCCCCATTCACAGAGCTTCGTTGAGCAAGTTTCTTGTGAGCAGATTGAGGTGCATTTGCGCAGTGGAGGCTGAGGTGGTCAGTAGGCCCTGCCCCGCACTAGAACCTGTGGCTGGCTGTGCTGGCGAGAGCAGTTTCTTCACTCAGGGTAAACCCTGCTCTGGTTTACAAAGCACAGGACGCCGGCCTGAAGCAAAGCTGGTCTCACAGCATAAGACACGTGGTGCTTCTGGGACGGTAACCAGTTAGAAAACCCCGCACCGCGCGGAGCCTGGAGCTGATGGCAATAAGGTCTTAGCCCCTCATCTGGGCGCCTGCAAAAAAATAAATAAAATAAATAAATAAAACCCCCACACCTTTCCTGCTTAGTTTAGTTTTTGAAGTTTTAAAAACAAGAATTTTGTTTTCAAAAGTACTGATGTGTATTGTAAAAGAAATTACTACAGTGTGAACATACAGCTAGAAATGTACTTATTCTAACGAATATGAAGTTGTGAATTGAGAAAGGTATTTGCATTAATTTAAAATTCATGTAAGACTAGAGAACCAGCCCATTCATTTTGCTGAGCTGCAGCTTGTGTGTGTGGCCAGTGAGGACCAGGCACCACTGCTCATGCTGAGTGCAGGGCCTGCGTCCAGGCTGTGGAACTGCTTTCGGAAGCATCTTGTTTGTTCCCGAGAACAGCAGTGACTGCAGGCAGACCAGACAGAAAATGAATCAGCAAAGTGTCTTGGGTCGAGGGTGCAAGAACTTGAGCGGATATGTAAAAAGTTCTTCAATGCATTGGTTTCCAGACCCTTAAAATATGATCTTAAAGGGATGTTACTCAAAATATTATTTAAAATACAGGGTGGGTCAAAAGTGGGTTTACAGTTGTTCACATGGAAAGTAAAACAGCAACAAATAATATAAGAATAAGCTGTTTTTCATACTCAACTGTGAACCCACTTTTGCCCCTCCCTCTCCACCAGAAGGCGGATCATCCCAGAATGTGTAGGACAGTGCATGCTGTGGAGAATTACAGGAGAGTGTGTGCTAAGATCGGTGAGTGATACCATTTCTTATTGCTTCAGTGAATAATTAGAGAAGTATATTTCAAATAGTTATAATTTAGGGTCCCAAATATTCTTTTTGAAGTAACTTCTTTTGCCCTATTGTCTTTTTAACAGGTGCTTTGAAGACATTAAAGCAATGGAACTAGGAAATCCAGAGAATTCAAGATGTTGGGTTTTGTTTTTTTTAAATAAGTTAAATTGAATTTGTCTGTGAGCACTTAAAAGTTGATTGTACCAAAAAAAAAAAAAAGAATGGGACATCAGAGGGCCTGCGGCCGCGCTCCTCCAGCAGGCAGTGGTGGAAACTGCCATTTAAAAGTATTTGAATCATGAACTTTTGTTACCCCAATGCTAATCTGCAAAACCATGATGCCCACATTTAGGGAGAGGAATCAGATGTCTGAAGGTGCTCCTGTCACATCAGTTTGGATCCTTACTTTAAGCAAATCCTATCTAATAAAAGAGAAACATGGTAATTAGTTATACCTCCACTACCCTTCCCATTGGCTAATCAGGGTGATATGCAAATTAACTGCCAGCCAAGATGGCGCTGGCAACCAGGCAGCTTGAAGCGAACATGAGGCTTGCTTGCTTCAGTGACGGAGGACTCCAATGTTCCCCACCTGCCGCTGCCGGCCTCTGAGCTTGCATTTTGAAACATTGTTTAGAAACTAAACAAATATAGAAGCTAAGCAAAACCCCAGAAACCTGCTTTCAGCTAGCCGGGATCTCACAGCTGGAGTTGAAACTGTTTTGATTATAGAACCCAAACAAACCAGATACCTGCTTTCAGCAGACAAGGCCTAAGAGCTGGAGCCAAGCCTCAGAGCTAAAGCTGGCCCAGAATAATAAAAAAAGAAAGAAAAAC